AACAACTGATTTATATTAGTCACTCAGTATTGCTTGTATTTTCTTATAATACAAATTTAATTAATATCCATAATCAAAAGCAGCAATGTCTTAAATTTTCATATGCTAAGAACATTGCTAGCCAACTCACAGGATTCATTTGATTCCCAAGGGACAGGTGTACTGTTATCTGTTTCCAGATAAAGAAATGGCAGCTTAGAGAGCCTGGTCGTTTGCTTATGGCTGCTCCCTAGGAAGCTCGAAGGGAGCAGAGCAGTGGCACCTTCTGAAGCCCTGCCCCTCAGTTACCCTGAACGTTCACTCAATGGCTGGCTTCCCAGCCTCACACTGACCCATTGCAACTCTTTTTCTGCTTAAAAGTGTTTACTATGTAAACCTGAATTATGTCCAAACAATAAAACACAACCAAAAATTTTGGTGGCTTATGAAAAAGAACAATGAGTTGAATTGCTCATCGTGTTTTTAGCGCCACATCTGATTGTGAAGGTAGGCTATTCAGCACTTTTTGATAATCTATAGGTGGACTCAAATGACTATGAAAATGTATCAAATTGAGAAAGTCACCAAGATGTGTATCCCCATGACTGGGCAGAAGGTAATACATAACATTCTCTTTTGTCAACTATGCGCATTAACAGGTATGCACGTGGTGAGGCAGCTGGGTTTTCTAGGGACTCCTGAGCAGGCTCCTCCCTTCTGCAGCTGAGGTGTGCGTACTCACAGCTCTCCTCACCTCCCAATTTACTGCCTTGTGGAAAAGGGAAGCACTCTAGAGTAGTGACCTTGGTCTGGGGACATCTGTGCCTTGAGAAAGTCTGTGGAAAGCAGACAATCTGTCAGAGCAGCAGCACTGGCATGGGCCCCAAGGCCAGACCTAAGGTGGGGGTGGGGGTGGGGGTTGGGGGGTGGGGGGCTTCTCTAGGAATTTGAGGAAGTGATTTCTAGGTGCACTCAGCTCCTTCTGCGCACTCTGCTAGTGGTTTTGGAAGCAATTAGCACCTTCTTATAAAAAGGCATGTACAACAGGAGCCAAAGCTCTCCTGCTTCATACAGCATTCCACTCATGGGTCTTTCTCCTAGAAAAAAAAAAAAAAGAACAGAAGCTTTTTGTTTTGGGTGCATATAAAAACAAAGCTTTTCTCTGGTCCACAATTTGAAAACAAAACAAAACAAAAAAACAGAGAAGAGCTTATGTTTTCAGACAGGTGAATGGTTTAACGTATTAGAATTAATAAAACGGAGCAACATGGAGCTATTAATTGTGATGGATATGAATAAACAGGTAAATGGCTAAGATCCTATGTTTAATTAGCATATTTACAATTATTGTGGCAATGAGAGATGATATACATTTGAGAATTAATTCAGGAAAATGAGAACAATGGGAAAAGTGATTTTACACTTACTTGGTTAGACATATCTTTAATATTGTTCTATTACATTTTAACTTTACTAAACATTCTGTGGTGACAAGTCAATGGCTTTTTGAGCTCACCTAATAAAGCCAAACCATGTTCTACATGAGGCACCTAGGTCAGTCACCTGCAGGTGGTTCCCATTACTGCTTGCAAGGCTTCACAGAGGCAGTGGGAGTTGTTCTGAGCTCATCGTGGTGGGCGGGTCTCCTCTGTAATGATTTGTTCACTGACTTAGTTCTCTAAGAAGATGAAATAATAATTACAGTTTATTCTGCCTTTCTAAGTTTGGGTACCCTGGATTAGGATCTTCCCTTCGGGTGATGCTTAAATTAATACCAAATGTCTAATGCTCTAACACAGAAAAACAAAGTAGTGTACAAGGAAAGGTTAAAAACAAAGCAAAACTATTATTGCTGGCTAGAGAGGTGGCTGAGCAGCTAAGAGCACTTGCTACTCTCTTGGAGGACCAGTTTGGTCTCAGAACCCACATGATGGCTATAAAACTGTGACTCCAGTTCCAGGGTGCCCTCTTCTGCCTTCTGCAAACACCAGGTACACGCAGTACAAAGACATGCATGCAGGCCAAGCATTCATACACATCAAACTAAAAAAACTACATCTCTAAAATACATGTTGTTCCTACAAAAGGCTAAATAACAATATGTAATGGCACTGTTCAAGAGCCAGTTCAGTTTCCTTTCTCCCATTAAGTGTCAAAGTAGCAATGCCACGACCCATATCCCAGACTCTGCAGGACAGTGAAGGTCCAATGAAGGGATGCTCAGAACCCTAAAAAGAATCCAGTTTCACTCTCTACCCAGAGGAACTGCTCCACAGAAAGCTGCTGCATCAGAATACCATCCCCATCACCATAGCGTCCCAGAATTGAGAGAGGGAAGATTTACCCCTTAACAGAATAGAAAACAGCCACAGGAAAGATGGTAGCACAGAAAAGAAGCAGATAGATTTTCCCAGACTGTGGCAAGGGAATACACCAGGAAGACTTCTGTCCTATGAGTGTGTCTCTAGTTAAGTCTTCATTCCTACTAACTGAAACAAATACTGTGACTCAGAAGTAAGGAATCTCGTATTTGTGCAAGTGGATTCACAAACCTTAGCAAGCACTGTGTACTCCACAACTGAGCTTACTGGGATCCAGTGGGTGGAGCAAGGGGAGCTGATCCATTAGCCAATAGGATGACAAGCAGAGGCTTATAACCAGCCTCCAAGAAAACACGAAAATTCATGTTTTGCTTTCATCATGGCCTTTCTGCTTTTCCAGAGGTTCCTACATCTTTATATGAAATTTTCAAAGGTGACTGTCTTTTTAGCATCTGATGACTCCTATGATTTTGTTTCAAGTCTCAACTGCAACCAGCCAAAGCTCAGTTCAAATCAGAGTGGAAAAAGAGGTTATCGTTGTTACATGTCTATGTCTACACCAAATCCTACCTACCTCTAAGACTAGTATCTGCGTAAGACTCCAAAGTAGCTCCCACCCCATAAACAGCAATGCTTTCATCTGTCGCCTACGACATACCAATAAAGAAATCACGGCGTTGTGTCACAAACTGCTATGCAAATGATGCTATTTGTAAGTATTAACATAATTTAGTGCTTACAGTCATATTCTCATTTCTAATAATTCTCCCAGAATGGAGTCTTTCTCTGGACTCTTAGCCTGCAGGATAGTCTTTCATCAAGAAGCTGAAATTTTTAATAACCTGCCAGCATATGTTTGTATGTGCCAGGCTAGGCTTGATGACACAACATCTTCATTATCAAAAGGAACAGGTCTGCAGACTGTAATAGGACATTAAAACACGCCTGTGCTCATAAAGTAATGCTTTGATGTCTAAATGTGCACCGTTACAATGGTCCTCTGGAACAAAGCTGGATGCCAGTCTTAAATTCTCAAGAGACACCCGCAGCTCGCCTCCACTCTGAGGAGAGTCTCCCTTTGAAGGCATAAGCTGCCTTCAGTTCCTGCAAGAGGGACGGGAGCTCACAGGAGCTTTATTTCCATTTTCAGCTTTGGCTTCTCATGCTTCACAGCTAAGCGTGAGCCCTGCATTATAACAGGATTTCTGAATAATTATTTTTCCCTGTTAAGTTTTTTAAATGATTTAAATAGACCATTAATTATTTAAGAGTTTCAAATTTAATAACATTAACAATAGTGCCAAATGTATTTAGTAACAATTTTAAATGGCATAGTTTAAAATAATTGAAATTAAATAATCTACAGTGAGGTTTCTAACCACAATTCAGCCAAATGTCAGTAGTGTAAATATTTTTAAAACTCAAAAGTCAAACAGTTTATAGTCCAATGTCAGGGGAACTCTTTAAAAATTATTGGTTTGAAATGCTGAGTCCAGTAAACACTATACACACTAGTATTTCAATTCTTTAAAATAAAAGTGCTAGACCTTTTCATGGTTTAAACTCAACAGCTTTGCTTCAAGAAGATAAGACCCAGTTCAAAGAGAACATAAGAGAAACCTCTACTGGCCTCAAAATTAAATACATTTTCTTTGCTTTATTTTTTTTCTAGAAGAGTAATTCACTTTGGTATCCTTTAAATAATATGTAAAGAGCTAGCCATGACAGGTACTGCATTTAGTCTGTTCACTGTTGGAGGGGGAAGAAAGCCCCAATAGATCATGGGGAGAACCGACCCATTTGTCAAAGGGAACTCTCCCTCCTGACTGTTCTCTAGATTTATTCATCATTCCACTTGCCCAGGAATAATGTGGTTCCCACCAGTGTGCCCCTTCCTTTCTATCACTTGTGTCTTGATTCATAGACTTCTGTAGTGGGATGCGCAAAGCAGATGCAAATCACTGCAAGGCCTGCCGCTACGCATGCTGGGGGAAAGGGACCATATAAGGAGTTTGCCTGTCAATTTTCTTTTTCCTAGTAGGTCAGGCAAAACAGGGTGGGGTGATAAAGAGAAGCTGGAGGTAAGGATACAAAGTGGGACAATGTTCAGAGGTCAGGTTAAACATAAACCATGTACAACTATTAAGAAAAATTGGAACAGACTGAGGTTGTATAATTAATTTCACCCACATATGTGGAAAGATTTACATACTTCTACTCATAGTCGAGACCCTGAGCCTACTACTCAGCTTTTGCTGGAAGTTTTCTTGTGGGGCCTATTCTTCTCTCAGTATCTCACAGGGACCAATAGTTACACAGATTTCTTTGGAGTGTCTTCAAACCCATGGCTTCCGATAGCATGCTCTTTTACATTACTTACAGTGACCACCATTTGCTAGTAGACTTCCTATATTAAAACACAGCTCAACTAATCACAGTAGTTGACAGAAGCACAGGATCTGCTCAGGGCATATGCTAAGATTTGCAATGCTGCCTGAATATGGCTTTTTAGTCATTTCTTAGGTGTGAGAAAGATGTTTTGGGCCCCCCAAACGGACATTTAAGTGACCCAATAAGTTGTACACTAGGCGTGAGGCCCCAGAGAGGCTCTGCGGACAGGTGACAGAGCAGAGTCTGGGAGGAGGAACCTTGTCTCCTAACCATCCACAGCACGGGTTCCCGGCGCCACTCAACACTCACTTGGGCCCACTTCTTCTTCCAGTCTTCTTGGCCGTACTTGTTACTCTCCTTTAGCACCCACTTGTAGCACTGGAGGTGGGAAGGGATGTCACAAAATGCTGTCCCATTTCCTCCAAATTCTGTGTTCATTTTAAAGACCCAGCGTCGGATTTGTAGGTGATCAGTCACCAACTGGCTCAATTGTTCTATCATCTGTGAGGCAAAAGTACAGAACAGCAATGAACTGCATTTCCTTTCTGTTGTAGTAACTTTGAGACTTTACATAGTCTGTTTATTAGGTTCCCTTCGACTCATTAGAAAAAAATCAAGGAGCTTTAAGTGATATATGAGATAAAGACATCACTAGACAACGGTATAAAAGTCATGTTTAAAATACAGTTGTATTTGTGAGAAATTAAATAACTATTACTATGTTGGCTTGTGAGGACAAAAGCATCTGTAACTGGACCCTGGTATTGTCATCTTTCTTCCTCAGCATCTTAGGTGTTTCCTTTTGGATCTTCAAATGATTTTTAAAAATAATGTTAAGACTATAAAATATATAGTCCTGAAAACTTTGTTGAGCTTTTAAATACTGTAACCTAAAATAAAAAAATACTGTAATGTATAAGGCATTTTCCCTCACTAACATACATTTATTTGGCCAGTAGGTAAGTTGCCTGTATATGTGACATAAATGAATGTATTATAGAGAAAGACAAATGACTGAGATAAAACACTTGCATATCACAATGGGATGAAATTCAAGAAAAATATTATGTTAGAAAAAAAGATTCTATTTTTAGGATTTAAAAAGAAATAAAAACTTAACAAAAATCACTTGTAGAAACAGCCTTCCTGGAGTGTCAGCTGCCCTGCATTTGATATGAAACAAATACTCTCTCAACAACTGTGCTTTAAATAGATGAAATTTTAAGGGATCCAAATCCACGCTTTAATTCCAAAATGATAGTGAGAACAATAGTGACTAACATTACTGAACACTCAGTAGGAACCAGCCCTTGCCACATGTATCCTCTACATGAGTTTCCAAATTAAAATAATAACCTATGATGAAAGCACCATTAGTGTTTCCATTTAATACGTAAGTAGAAGCTGACTAATTTAAGTGACTTGTCCATGATCATACAGCACTGAATGGTAGAGCTGGCTTCTCTTGGATTGCTTTGACTCCAAACCCTACACTCATTCCCTCTTTATGGGGCATCATATCTAAGCCTGCAGATAGCTGGAGAAGGGTGAAATGCAGAAAGAGGTCAGAGGAGGAGCCTGAGAATCAACCTGCTTCCAAGTAAGTAAGTCATTTGTGTTGTATTTGAATCAGACAAAAGTCTCTCTAGCAAGACTATTAATTCTATATAAGAACATTCTGTTACAGCTTTGAAGAGAACCAGCTCATTAGATCACAAAATGACTTTGTTGTCTGTACACTAAGCATTGTGTCTCCTGTATCTACCCATGCTATTCTTGCCTGTGCCATCCTATACTTGACATCGTATTCTTATTCTCTATTGTCTTAGTTAGGGTTATCTCTGGTGTAATGAAACATCATGACCAAAACAACTTGGGGAGGAAAGGGTTCTCTTTACACTTCCACATCACTGTCCATCATTGAAGGAGGAAGTCAGGACAGGAACTCAAACAGGGCAGAAACCTGGAGGCAGGAACTGATGCAGAGACCATGGAGGATGTTACTCATGGCTTGTTCCTTACGGTTTTATCAATCTGATTACTTACAGAACCCAGGATTACCAGCTCAGGCGTAGCCCCACCCACAATGGGCTACGCCCTCCCACTTCAATCACTAATTAAGAAAATGCCTAACAGGCTCGCCTACAGCTCAATCTTTTTTGTTTGTTGGTTCTTGTTTTTTGAAACAGGGTTTCTCTGTGGCTTTGGAGGCTGCCCTGGAACTAGCTCATGTAGACCAGGCTGGTCTTTAACTCACAGAGATCCTCCTGCCTCTGCCTCCCGAGTGCTAGGATTAAAGGCGTGCGCCACCACTGCCCGGCTGCCTACAGCACAATCTTAAGGAGATATTTTCTCAATTGAATTCCCTCTACTGAGATGATTATAGCTTGTGTCAAGTTGACATAAAATTATGTAGTACATCTATTCTTTTAACTACCAAATGGATTTTTATTTTTTAACTAAAGAATTTGAAAGCACTGAAGACTAATGGTTCTTCTGAGGTCTGAAACTGCAAAATTAAAAAAAAATTTAAGGCACACACACACAATATGTTATCCTGAATTGTGTCTATTCAGCAAATGGTTTTGGGCATGCAACATGACATGGCAGTGTGGAAGAGATAGCAAGATAGCCACACTTGGGGTTTCCAGAAAGCTCAGGCAACTATGGGTTATTCAATAAAGGTGAAAATGAAATTGTCTCAGCACTCTAATTATCAATTTATTGATATTTTGGATCTTTAAATAAGCACTGTGGTCTGCGTACATATGGCTATGAGGAGGTTCCCGCTGTGTCTTCCAAGGTTGTATGCCTTATTTTTCCAGCTAGCTATGTTCTATATTAATTATATTTGCTGTGGTTTGTGTGTGCTGTGGTCACAAGTTATAGAAGTGCTGTTTAGTCTTAACATTGGCTAAAAACTTATTTTGATAGTTTAAGGAAAGGTGTTCCAGCATAGCCTTTAAAATTGTGTATTTAGATATATTGCATACTTGGAGGCTTCAAATGCTAACAGAATTAGTATGTGTTTCCTCCAAATCCTATTATTTGTTGCTTCTGAAAGTCCTATAAATGGGTGCCTGTGGCAGGATCTCTACAGTAATGAAAACGATCAATAGTATTGTAAAGACTACACCACTGGAAGAATTATGTGCTATCTTTAAGTGAAAATTGAACAGTGCTTTAAAATAGCATTGCCATTTTTGATTATTTAACCAAAGCTGTCAATATTTCACACAGAGCACATGCCAGAAAGGGACTTACATGGTTATTTTATGGATCAAAACAGGAAATGCTCACTGTGCTTATGCTAGATTTTAAAAACTCAGTCATAAACCACATGACTTTCTGCTATTTCCAAACATTTATCATTTTCTGTTTGAATATGTTTTTAGAATGTAATATATCTTTAGCTGTGATTCATTTATATTGGTGAAGAGCAGAAGCAGAAAAATTGCCACTGTAAAAATTCAACTAAGACCCAAGAATACTTATTAACCTAAGTTAAAATAATCACAGTTTGGGGGCTGGAGAGATGGCTCAGAGGTTAAGAGCACTGACTGCTCTTCCAGGGGTCCTGAGTTCAATTCCCAGCAACCACATGGTGGCTCACAACCATCTACAATTCAATCTGGTGTCTTCTTCTGGCATGTAGGCAGAACATTGTATATGTAATAAAATAAAATAAATCTTAAAAAAAATAACTACATACACAATACTCTCCTTAGATGCCATAAAAAAAATAATCACATTTTTCACCCACTTTAAATTTGCAATGCATGTCAATAGAAAGTCAGGATTGATTCATCACCATCTGCAGATTCAAAATACTGATATGCTCAGATTGATTAAGTAGAGCCATTACTATCTAGAAAGCCTCAGTGGGGTATTTCAGTTATTGCTGACCTCAGATGCATGTCTTCCAAACAAGCACAGAACTCAGTTACAACTTGGCTTACTGCTATACTATTGATACACATTATATGTCAATAACATCCCTCAATCTGAGGGTCTATGAGAAGGGTTTTAGTCCTACTTCTGAATACTAGAACCAGACAGAATTTGTGTTGTATTAAATATGCCCACACCTTTAACCACAATTAATGTATAAAATTCTAAAATATTTCAGAGCATAGATTGATTGCCTGTGTTATTCTCAATGAAGATGAAACTAAGACTTGATACAAATTTTACACATGCATTTTAAAGACATGAAGATTGTTTAGTGTAGTATGTGCATTCAATTGTATCATTCAAAAATCTGTTTCTCCCACATTAAGGTTGTCAGCCAGAACATTCCATTAAGAAGCAAAATCAAGCAATCTACCTTGATACCTTCAAATTTCAGTGGAAGTTAATGACAGTGGAAATCTCTCCATCATTCTTCAACTAAAATCCCAGACTGTGTTTCTGCTATAAGCCAGTTGTTGGCTGGGAACTCTCTATAGCAAGACTCCAATACTTTAGGGCAGCTCGATGAATTCAGTGTCCTCCAAACGGTCTTTCAAAAGTGTGATTTGCTTAAAGGCAGCATTTTGTTCTCAGTGGCTATGCTGTGAGGAGCATCCTGACCAAACAACTGAGAGTAGAGGGAGATCCCCAAATCCGACCCTTATTCGCTGCCTCAATGCTCACGGTTCCTTAATTTTCCAAGAAGAAGGGAAAAGAGATCATTTGTGATTGGCTCTGACAACTGGTCAAGAGAAATTCAAAATTAGAGGTTTGGAAATGTTAACAGCCTGCAGTTTGTCTTTTAATCTTCTTTATTATGTAAACAGATGGCAGTTAAATGGGAGAATAAATGCCGGAGCAAATCAGAATGAAAATATTTCTAGAGGAGTGTAGAGTCACAGACTGGGTAAACCAAGGGAAACCTGGAAGTAGTTTTATTTCTCAGGTCAATTTACTTCCTGTTTCTACTCTTTGTAGGGTCAAAGAATGATGTATTCAGTATTCTGCAGTCTCACCAAGGACTCTTAAAAGCTTCCAAACCCACTTCTTTGCCAAAACAGGCTCTCGTGTTCTTAGGGTCCTATTAAATGACTGAATGGCAAATGTGGTGATGAACTAATAGATATCAAGGCAAATGCTGACAAATTAGTTCCAATGATTAATTTTAACAAGCACTTAGTAACTTAACCCAACAGGTAAGCCTTTTGAAAACTCCAGGCCTGGTAGTTCAGACATGTAATCATAAATTCTTGGGAACCACAAGTTCAAGGACAGCCTGTGTAACTTGGTAAAACTCTGTCTCAAAAAGTTAAAAGAGAGCTGAAGATAAAACCACACAGTTCTTACCTGCCATGTGAGAAGACCTGAGTTCAGTTCACGGTATGGAAAACAAACAAACACAAGCCTAACAAACACAAAGGCATAATGTAGATCTCTTCACTGGGTAGGGCTGGAAGCAGATTACCCGAAGCCGTACAATGTCAAGGGGATAGAAGACATCTGAACAGAGCCACCCTACATACCTGCTGGTAAGTATAGATGTCATATATTCCAGGAGGCATTGGCACATTATCACTGTCAAAGATCCGTTTACTTCCAGACTTGCCACTGTAAAGGTGAACAAGCTCGGGCTCTGAGCCCAGGATGGGTACGTTCAGCATATCAGCCACAGCCAAGTCGTCTCTGTGGAGGAGCCCGCCCACGATGTAGGCCTCCTTTCCTTGGATGAGATTTTTGATTCTTTTGATTGCCTTGGGACTGTACATCAGGTGAGTGGCCAGGCACATGTGATGCTTCTGGAGGACAATCAAATCACCCCTCTTAAAAGGTGTCCCAATTTGTAATGTTGTACATAGTAAATACATTATTAATAGCAGGCTGGGTTATGACCTATCCTGTTGTTTAGCCGTTTAAATTGATAAAAGCTGTTGGGGTGAGGTTCCATAATCGCTCACATCTTTAGTGTGTTGGAAATAGGCTCACTGGGAATAGAACTAATTACTACACATCTGTATTTATTTGATCCACGTGGAATTATCCTTCTGTCAGAAGGAAAAGAGGCTGGCGGCCTTTGGATAATAGTGATTCATCTCCACACACTTCTGGCATGGTTTAACACTAAAGCATCTGGAAAATCGATACAAAAAAATGAAGGAAAAGGCCCCATAGTGTTCTCCTCTATATAGACTCTATATAGACTCCTAAGCCGGCAATGTTTTCAGTGTTTCCAAAGGAGAAAGGTATTTGATTTGATCCCCTCCCCCAAACTCTCACCCAGAATCCTTTTCTGAGAACATATGATTTACAGTGATTACCAGGGTTCTAGCCAACACTTTGGAAAACAATAAGGAATAGAAAATATTTGAAAATTACAGCAAGACTCAAATTTCTTTTCCAATACAAACTTTTTAAAATCCTATTTTGACTAGGTAGACCTGGCTCAGCAATGCCTGTGACTGTCTCATTCTATTAAAAAGTGATTTTATTCATATCTAGCAGGGTAGAAGACAGACAGATGGGCAAACCTCATACAGTGTTTCAGCTCAGCCTTCAAGGAGTGGGACAGCACTCTCCCTCTCTCTCTCTCTCCCTCTCTCTCTCTCTCCCTCTCTCTCTCTCTCTCCCTCTCCCTCCCTCTCTCTCCCTCTCCCTCCCTCTCTCTCCCTCTCTCCCCCCTCCTCTCCATCTCCACACACTTCTGGCATGGTTTAACACTAAAGCATCTGGAAAATCAATACAAAAAATGAAGGAAAAAGCCCCATAGTGTTCTCCTTTATATAGACTCTCCCTCCCTCCCTCCCTCCTTCCTTCCCTCCCTCTCTCCCTCCTTCCCTTCCTGTCCTCTCTTCTCTCTCTTTCCACCTGTTTTAATCTATTAAGTTAATTGTTTTCAGCAAGCTTCCATGTCCTCATCTGTAAGGTGTGTGTAACAGTTCCAGCCTTAGGGATGTTGTGAGGATTGAATGAGATAATGCACTGTGAAGCCCTTGTAACATACATGGGAGCATGGTAAGCACGGAAGACGAAGTCCATTTCGAGGCATGGGGAAGCTTTTAAAAGGTGAAGATGGGCATGGAAAAACCATTGCTGAAGGATGGAATATAAGAACCTTAGACTAAGTCTACTGTTGAACTGCTACATTGTGTTCACATTCTGTTCAAGAGAGGATAGCATGGAACCCAAGAAAATGCTGCGAGTTTGTAGTCAAGTTCATCTGCTGTATATCTAGTTCTATTACTTATATGTATGAACTTGTATATAACTTAGACTCCATGAACCCATTTTTTTGTTTTGTTTTGTTTTGGTTTAGGTTTTTTGAGACAAGAGTTTCTCTCTATTGCTTTGGAGGCTGACTTGGAACTTGCTCTGGAGACCAGGGTGGCTTCAAACTCACAGAGATCTGCCTGCCTCTGCCTCCTGAGTGCTGGGGTTAAAGGCATGCGCCACCAACACCTGGCTGCCCATTTCTTTATTTGTCAAACTAGAGTAAAAAAATTACCTGTATGCTGGAGTTGCTCCAAGACTGAAATAAGATTATGAACATGCATAACACTGGGCCAATAGTCCATAATGATAGTAATATTTTATTGGGAATTTTAAAACTAAAACCATTAGAGCCAGGCATGGTAGCACACATCTTTAATCCCAGCACTTGGGAGGGAGGCAGAGGCAGGCAGATCTCTGTGAGTTCAAGGCCAGCTTGGTCTACATGGTGAATTCCAGGACAGCCAGGGCTGTTACACAGAGAAACCCTTTCTTAAAAAACTGATAGATAGATAATTAGATAAATAGATAGATAGATAGATAGATAGATAGATAGATAGATAGATAGATAAAGTAAAACCATTAAAATGTCATACAACTAATATAATGCAAAGGTACTGGACGCTTGAGGAATTCGAAGGGTTTTAGAAGGTAGCACCTAGTACAATTTTAAGGAAAATTTATTTATCTAAACAAAAAATGTGAAGAAATGTGAATGACTGTGTTTAAGAACATCCAATGCAGCTGTCTATAAATGGTTTCAGGGTATAATCTTGCAAGTGTGCAAGCAAGAGAGTTGAGCTAGGAAAGCCCTAACTCTTGGTCTTAAATGAATCTGTAACTTACTGGGTGATTTAGAACAAGTCTGCTTAAATGTTTTCCTGCTTGTCACACCCCCCATAGAAATTGTTATGCAACTCTGGGTGTTTATAAAATAGTTATACAAATCAAACTTTTGTTGATAAAAAGTCACAAATTTATTTTAAAACAATTCTTTGGTATGTGTATAATTTTATCACTTATTAAAGATGAAAGAAAATTCATATACTATTGAGATTATATGCATGTTCATTTTTAATAAAAAATTAAGTTTTTGCTGAATATTTGATACTTTGGGAATAGAACATCTTCAATAAATATTTTCTCAGAATTGATCAATATTTTTAATTTTATAGTCATCAATGCTGAAAATGCTACTTTGCCAAAATTTCTGATCCCAAGTCAAAATTAATTCAACAGTTTTTAAAACTATAACTCAGTAAGAAATTCAGCAGCATTTAAACACATTTTTTATTTATGTGTATGGGTGTGTGCCCATGTGAGTTTATGTGCACCATGTTTACTTATGCAAGGAGCCCCTTCTACTGGAGTTACAGGTGTTTATGAGCCACCATGTGTGTGCTAAGAACCTAACCCCAGTCCTCTGGAGGAACAGTCAGTGCTCTTAACAGTTGAGCCATCTCTCCAGCCCCTCAAACAGCAATTTTTAAAAATCAAGCAGTCTAGTAGAATGCAATGTAAAACTACAAATTTGATACTTACTTGCTGGGGAATGATGATAGGAAAATATCAAATGTCTTTGAGTTCTGTAATTAACCCATACTCCTATAAAAGCAGAAAAGTATGTATGTACAGTGTGTTTGTTAGCTTTTGTTGACTTAATACAAGCTAGAGTCATCTAGAAAGAGTAACCTCAATTGAGAAAATGCCCCCCCATTAGATTGACCTAAGAGGCATTTTATTGATTGATGATTGATACAGGAGGGCCTACGTTGCTGTTCTTGCAGAGGACCTGACATGGGTTAGGTTCCCAGCAATCACATGGTGGCACACAGCTGCCTCATTAGGGGTGAAGACACCCCTGGGCAGATAGTTCTGAGTTGGATAAAAAGTAAGACGAGCAAGTCATAGAAAGCAAGCTAGTAAGCAGCACTCCTCCATGGTCTCTGTTTCAAATTCCTCCCTCTGCATACTTGCCTTCAGTTCCTGCACTGACTTTCCTTCATGATAGACTATAAGCTCTAAGGTGAAATAAACCCTCTCCTCTCCAAGTTGCTTGTGGACATGGTGTTCATCATAGCAATAGAAGCCCTAAGACATGGAGTAAAAACACTGCAGTTCATACTACATTATAGTCTCCAGCTGAGGAGGTCTTTTAGGCAATGGTAGTTGGCACTGTTTGGGGCTGGAGGATGGCTCAGGGATTAAGAGCACTTGCTGCTCTTGCAGAGGACTTGGGTTCAATTCCAAGTAATCACATGGCAGTACACAAGTGTCTGAAACTCTAGCATCAGTGGATCCGATGCCCTCTTCTGGCTTCAGTGGGTATCAGGCACAGATGAGGTGCAGAGACATACATGCAGGCAAAATACTCATATGCATAAGAAATAAAAGCAACATTTCAACTGGCATTTCTTTGCCATGAAGGCATGTGCAGTGCAGTGTGTACAAGTTGTCTGGTCAGGCCAAGAGGTGGTGGTGCATGCCTTTAGCCCCAGCACTTGGGAGGCAGAGGCAGGTGTGAGATCCAGGCCAGCTTGATCTACAGAGGGAGTTCAGGACAGCCAAGGATACACTGAGAAAGTCTGTCTCAAAAAACAAAAATAGATAGATAGATAGATAGATAGATAGATAGATAGATAGATAGATAGATACAAATTGTCTGGTCAGAACTGAGGCTCCAGGACATTTGTATCCAGTGACATAAACAAGTGTCACGGAAAAATGCATTGGATTCATTAGGAATTGATTTTGAATTAACTATTGGTCAAAGAATGTCTAGAAACATTTTGAAAACCTTCACATTCAGTTTGCAACCAAGAGTTAAGAAGTTAGGGCATAAAACACCCAGCCTTTCTGAAACTCAGCTCCTTATATTCAAGTGAGAGTTCGGAAAGGAAGTCTCTAAGTTCCTTCCATCTTGAAAGACCTCCTAAGTAAAGCCAGAGCACTTCCATAGTTATATAATGTGCATAGAGCTTCTGCTGACATGATTAAAGTTCTGAGATAGATGATAGTGACATCTGTACAATATGAATGTCCTTAACACTACAGAACTGTTCCCTAAAAAATGTCTGAGATGATAAAAATTTTATCTTATATATTGTTTATCCCAGTTAAAAGAGAGAGAGAAAAAAATTCAGAGCTCCTCTGAGGAAAATTAGGTAATTTACTTTTGGGCCCTTCCTCCAAGTCATGAGTTTAAGTCTCTGCCTTAGATCTCTACAATATGACTTTTCTAACATAAGTGACTCACATCCCAGATACACTTCTGAGAGTGGTGGCTGCCTGGAGCTGGCCACCTACCCTCCTGTTTAACTAATTGCTTTCCTTTTCCCACAAATCACTTCAATGTGAAGATGTCAAACAAATAAAACACACCCAGAATTGCTCCTGACTTGAGTTACAATAGGGTATTTGATGATAGATTAAGAAGCTCAGGGCTGGATCTGGAATGATAACTCAATGGGTAACAGCACTTGCTACTTTTCCAGAGGACTCAAGTTCAGTTCCCAGTGCCCACATCAGGTGGTTTACAACAGCTCTAACTCTAGGGAATCCAACAACCTCTTCTGGTCTCTGTGAGCACCTACACATGCACACATATAGACTAAAAATAATATAAGCCTTTAAAATAGAAGCTTGATCTTTCTTACATCGTCTCTCATTTGATCTGTACGACAGTCCTTGCCATGGACATGAATGATTTGTCCAAAGATACACAGCTCTGCATAAAGCAGAGGATTTGAACCCAGTGAGCACAACTGGTCTACTACAACTTTTCTTATAAAGTGAGAAGTGAAGGCCTGTGGGTTTATGAACTGTGAAGAAGGGAAAGCACATAGCAATCAAGTTCAACCTCCGAGTACATGTCCAGCCAGGGTACATTTCTGTCTCCTCTAGATTTACACAACTCTGCTGACAATATTCTCTCTAGCTCCATGTCTTTCTGAGCATGCCTTAGTCTTCAGAAATGATGGTGTGCCATAATACTATCTTCAGTTTATGTTTAATAAAGATTCAAATGTAAGTAAGTGGTGGCAGAGGACACGCCACTGACCTCAGGTCTTGTGAGACCATTTAGAGAAAATCAGCATCATCAGTTCCAGATAGCAAAACACCACAGATAACAAAGATCTAAAAATGTTCCTATGCCCTTCCGTAAGGCTACATTCACTTTTACCACCACTTATTTCTTACTTTTGACCTGAGACAAAGGTAGTTGTTTAGAATGTCTTCATAAACATTAAAATGCTCCAAAATAGGCATGATGACTTTTATACACGCACAATTCTAGCTTTACATTCTGGTAACTTGGAAAGATGCACAAACAGATTTTTGGCACGCTTTAAAAAATCTCCTCAAAGCCATCCATTTGAATGAAAATCAGCACTGACACAATCTCTCAGGCCCATTAAAAAGAAATAAAGCAATAGCTAAACAGGAGCAAAACTGATTTGAAAGTGAGAGTTTAATTTTTGTGTTTTAAAAAGTTGATTGCCTATGAATGATTAATCACTCAAATAATTTGAATTCAAGCTCCAAGCAGCAAGATTGAGTACTTCAAACCTTGCCTACCTGTTTCTACCTGATCACCAAGATGAAGACCTGCACTGGCTGGAGCTGAGGCTGTCGATGGTGCCAGCTGCCTGGCTCTAGCCTGGAAGTGAGAAGGGCACTGCCAGGGCAGCCTTCTCAGCGATGAGGACTACAGGCTGGGAGAGGACTTTGGAATTACCCAATCTATCACCCCATTTCATGGATGAAGAACAGAGGACAAGAAAGCTAAGGAGGCTTGCCCACGGCCACTGGGTCATCAACAAACAAAACGGTCATTCCCGTGTGTAATAGTGACCTAGAGGAGACAGATTTTGGTTCACAATCTGGCCCTACCAGATACATTGAACTAGAAAATGAGTTTTGGTTTCTGCAGCAATAAAAAGAGAGCAGATATTTCTGTGTTGCCACATTGTGTGGGGCTCAAATGAAAAAATGTATGCTAAGAATCCAATAAATGTCACTTTACCTACCATCCATATCACAAATCCCCTTCCTTGCCAATGCCTCTTCAGTTCTACAGGCATTTCAGAGGTGCACACACTCTACTGGCAGCTAGCAGGTGTTAGCTTGAGTTTCTGGATCTGAGAATATCAACAGTTTCACTAAACACAAATGGGTTTTGGTGTTTTCTTCTTTGCTTCCTAACGTCTACATCAGTTGTGCCACAGGGGGCGTGGGATATCAGGGAAGCACCTGAGATCCCTACATTTGATGGGGGTATGAAAGACCCCCAGAGTATAAGTAAGTTGTCTTCCCTTTCCACAGCCAGATGTGCCAGTGAAGCAGAGCTGAGCAGAATGCCATCTCTGAGGTGTCCTCTGCTGAGAGTTGGTCTTGATGGACGAGAGTGAATGCAGAAGGTGCCTCACTGAGCATATACAAAGCCGAAAGGCTACGGCAGCACTCCTCCCTGCAGCCCCTGTGGAACTCTCTCAGGTTTAATCCCCCTCCCTGCCACCACTTTCTCTGGTAATACGTGGAGAGCTGACTATAGTGTACCTCATCTATAAATGGAGAGCGCGATCTATTAGCAAATACAGAGTCTTTCTTTTTAAAACAAACTTCAAAATTGTTTAGCTCATTAGATAATAAAATGTGTGTGAAAGAGAAGTCCCTTTCAAGTCATCCGTTGTGCTATCTTTGACTAGAACACTGCCCTCATGGTTCTATAAATGTCTTAGTAGCTCTTGTGCAGACTTAAGAGTCCATTCTATCCATTAGGATGTGAACCTTGTTCATACAGGATCATGTGATGTGGAAAGGTCCTAAAAGTATGAAAGTATGGGGTGACAAGGAATACCTGTGTGCAAGTCAGAAATCAGGGGCCCTGGTCCACTTTCTCTACCTGAGTAGTCTTATGGCTGCATAGGCCTGGCCAGCCTTTCACTGTCCTGGTGAACTACACATAAATTAAGAAAAAGGAGTGATAAATGTTATAAATCTATCTATTTGATTGTGCCTCCCAGTAGCTGCAATTAGGTTTCTGCCACAGAGAAACTGGGCAGGGACAGCTCAGCTAAGTTTGAAAGTTAAACTGTGGTATTTATTTCCTACAGTCCAACTAGTAGTCTAATCAGCAAAGCTGTTAAACTTGCAATAATATTTCACTGATGTGTACCAGAGCATTGCAAGTTATAAAATTTCCAATTTAATTTTACTGCATCCCTGAAGCCATAGTAATTAGAAGACAAACTCACAGTGAAGATGTTTACAGCTTCAGGGGTGATAATTCTGAACCTGTTCTGCAGGTCACTCCTATCCTCATAGTACCCCGACTTGACAGCTGCTTGTAGACTCAGGAGTTTTTTGTAGTACAGCTTTAACTCATCATTCATAGGATGGGAGCAGATGTAGATGACATTGACATTGGGATCTAAGAAATAACGGGCACAATGTTAATTACTGATATAAAGGTAAATGACATGATGAACTCTGCCAATTGATGCTACAGTAGTTTAAAACAAAGAGCATATCCAAAAGCCACACCAAAGTTAATTTAGATTGGCTTTGCACGTGTCTCAGCAATCTAAAGCAGCCTTTCTGCACTTTATCATTTCTCTAAAGAAAAGATACTACCACCAACAAAATACAGAAGACTGTGAGGGAACATGGAAGCAAAGTTTCAGATAATGCACAGGAATCCATCTGAACCATGCCCTTTAGCATCATTGGGAATGTATTCCATTCAGGTCAGCAAATTATAAAGCAGAGCTGTTAACTTTAGAAAGCTGAAACAACCTGTCCCAGCTCCACTCCCAGAGAGGATTATATTGCCTCAGTAACACATCTAACGGTTCCTAGTCCAGAGAAAACACTGCCCCAACTGCTTTCTTCCACAAGATGTTCTTCTTAATGCACGCACAGAAAACGACCTAATTGAGTATCTGGTCCAAATGGAATAGTGAGATGAGACTACTCACTCTGCTGCGGAACATTTTAAGGGCATATGGATGGAAATTAGCAGCGGATGGAGCTATTAATTCATTCACAAAATAACTAACTAATCTAGGTACAAATAGGAACAAAGCACTTGGCTCAATACTCCAGGAAATTTAGGGTCAAAGTGACTGAGAAATGTCTTTGGGAGCAACCATTTCAAACACACAGGTACTCAAGGAAGTTCAGGGGAGGGAGGGCCACCTGAACTTTGCTGGCTGAAAAGGTCAAGAGGAAGTTGCCAGACTGCTGTTTGGTTTGGCAGAGTACACAGAACATGGGCCCTGGGCACATTTTTTTTAACTTTTCTAAGCATTGGTTTCTTCGTCTGTAAATGGGGGTTTGATCACCTAGATATAGAGTTCTGGAATATTAAATGAAAGGAAAAATATTCTTGGTATGTGGCACAAAGAAAGTGTTGAACAAATGACACAGTCAACAGTGACTCCCTGCTGTGCCCTCTGTACCTGGCTCCTTTTGATCAATCGCTTTATTTATTATGATGAAGTAGTGTCATCTGCAGTCTCTGGTAATTTTTCAATCTATCAATCCAAGCTCCTTTTTCATATCTTTTTTTCCTGAGATGGGGCCTTATGCAGCCCAGGTCCATCTTTAACTCACTATGTAATAGAGTCTGGTCTCCAATCTCCACCTCCTAAGTGCTGGTGTTGCAAATTTGCATGGCCGCATCAGGTTTGTTTATTCAGTGCTGGGGATCTAACCCAAGGCTTTATACATTCTAGGTAAACACCAGCTGAGCTACACCCTCAGCAGTCACCAAGCTCCTTAAATTCTGTATATCCTTCAGGTCACAGTACAGTGTAGACTACAGAGGAGTTATTCAATAGGCACTCTTGGTAAGGTGGGGGTTTGGAAGAATGAAATGTAGATGACAGAATGTTTTCCTCCCTTATTGAGTACATGGTAGGTAGGAGAAGTCCCTCCCTATGGAAACAGGGTGACTTTTCGACTGGTCCAGGAAAAGGCTGATAGGAGGTGCTCCAGATACATAGTTAATTTTCTTTTAAAACTACATTGTCATATAAACATCAAAATAAGTTAGCTGAACAGAAAGTAGTTGAATAACTTGTATCCAATTGTTGACTGATCACATTAGTTATTGCTAGCCTTGCGTTTTGGGGAAGAAACTAGTGTCTTATCAAACTAGTGAGTCTAAAAACCAAATGTGTGGTGGTTGTTGTTATTGTGTGTGTGAGTTTTTAAGAAAGCATAAAAGAATAGAACATAAACAGCAAAAATAGTTATAGTAACAGAAGATGAATTTTACTTGGGAAGAAATCTCTAAGCTTCAAATAATAAGAAATCAAGTTGACAATGCCATTTTTCTTGCTCATTTCTGTCAGAACAATACATATCACTAACTCTAATACCCAATGGAGAGGGAATTCGCTGTGAATCTACAAACACAATTAATTGACATGTAGTTATGGAAAGGAGCTGTTATGGAGATGAAGCTTCCTTTGAATGGTAGTCAAAATCAGTTCCTCTATTTCTTTTCCTCTAACTGACCATCCTAACATCACAGCCCATATCCAGAGGCAAGTCTTACTGTGATCAAAATATATTTATTTCCCTCCTGAATAAGCAGGCAAACCAATACCCTTTACTAGTAATTAACAGAATAAAAGAAGTTTTATTCTTCCTCCCCAAATCATTTATCATTTCTCCTTTTCTTTTTCTACTTTTATTTCACAACAAAACACCTTCAACTTCACTACCCACCTCTAAGCTGCCCCTATGAAGAGGTTACGTGGACACATTGTTGGATCAGAATGATAATGTACCAGAAAAAGGCACAATCTCTCAGAAATGGCCATAGTTGCAAAATTTTTCTTTGTAGGTACAGATAGAATTATTGGATTACTAAAAATAGTACCCAAGTACTTTTTTCTTCTATAACGAGAAATTTTTATAAAGATACTCCTTTGTGATGACTTGTACTATATATAGAAGGGTATATAAAAAGCTGAGGAAAAAAATTAATTCAAATAAATCAGGGTAAAGTCTGCCCTCTGCTGTACCTCAGTGGTCCCAGGCAGTCAGGCTTTTAGTTGAATAGCTCAGCTATAACAAGTCAATCTCGCATCACTAAAGGGCTTGTTGTATAATGCTGAAACATAGCATTGGTGCCTAGATAACAGATTAAAGCAATTATGCTATTATTATTTTGGGACACTGTAAATTTCTAGTACTGATGTATTTTTGTTACCAAATGGCATTTATAAAATAATAATGATGTTGAAATATCTATGAATCATGTAAAGTATGTCATTCCAGGAAGCCAGCTAAGTTGGCCGTTGATAATATAAAATTCTTCCTCATAGTGCTTAAATAAGGGCCAAAGCAATTATATTTTAACAAAACAAAGAAGTTCTTATTAACTTCTAAAAATCTAATTTTTATTTAACCCTTAATTGGAGGCCAGTTCCTCATAAACTGACTTCTTGTAATAACATATACTTTGTAATCTGTATTTTTTTCCAGCCATGCTTGCAACCTGGCCATAGCAGGATCCAGTCTGTGGCTGAGTGCTGACTAAAACAGTACCAGTTTGACTTTTGCAAAGACATTTCCATCAGCCTAGAGCCTGGATTTCTAAGAATTCCCTCCACAAGGCACTCCATGTTTTCTCAGAATCTGTCTTTGCTTTCCTCTTATTCTTATAATGAAAATACAGTGCTTCATTCTTTCTACTCCATGCCCAGAAGTATAGACAATATCGACAAATAAAGAGTTTTGACCCATTTCACTGGAAGGAATCGATAAACCAAGATTATTTGAGTCTATGATAGGGAAACTGTTTTTCAAAAAAGAATTTAGAAAACTTCAAAAATTGCTCAAACATTTAAAAATTCAAGCTGACTTCACTGTAAATCTATTACTTAAAACAAAATAATCATTTACCTTGCAAATAGGTTAAAAAGCTAAGTTCTTTCCATGTAGAAGGGGGAAAAATAGGAAATATTTTACGAGTATCTATCCAGAAGATATAGACAGTAATTGATGTAAAATTATTTACTGTACCTAGGATGTCGCACAGCCTCCCCAGCTGCATGTTCTGCTGTATGTCAAAATCAGAGATGCGTTTTCGCACAGGCTGGGCATACCCTAAAAGGCAAAGTGTCAAAACAGAAACAGCACATCAATATAGCACACGAAGAAATTTCAAAACGTCGCAGTCTGCATTTTTAGGGCCAAAATTTTTACTCTGCAGCATTTTGCATTACCGATAATATCCTAAAATCACAGTCTGTGTTTCTCAAGGACTAAGCTTGGAAGGTGTGCTACACAGCATGTTCTGCAATAGCGGTTCCTATTCTTTCAGTACTGACAAAGCTCCCGAGAATTTAGATTACAAATGCATGGAGAAAACATCTGACATTTAACATGAGTGTTCAAAAGGACATGTGAAAATGTTAGGGTCGGGTGTAAGGGATTGTTTTGGCTTTAAAATCATGCAGCAATTTGAAGTTGGTTCCAAGAATCATTCTACACAGGGTTCAATCCATCCCTTTGCTGTCAGAAACTTGTGTTTAAGAACTCGCATATCAAAGCACCACTCTCTGATCCGGGTCAGAACTTTTAACCTTCAAAGGACGAGAAGGGTCAAGGCATTTACTCTGTCGGTACTACCAATGGCCTGTGGTCCCTTTTGTTTTTACTGGAGATGGAGCAGAAGGAAAATAATGTGTTGCCACTGTCCAGAATGCCCACAAAAGAAGTAATAGCTTCTGCTCTAACATCAGGCCTTAAGAAAGCAGATCTGAACATGAACTTGAAAGGCATGTGTCTTCACAAGCAGTCACAGTTGCTTGTTAGGAATTTGAGAACCGAAGGTAGAACTCTCTTAGAAACTGAAATCACTTTGCACATTTTTGAGAGAGGCTTCCATGCCTCCTTGTGGTTACTGAGCCCAAACACATGTCTGTGTGTAACTGCTGTAGAAAAAAGGACGTGATGGATGAATGCAAGATATGCCACACATTTCTTTTTCAGCATAAGAAAAACTATAGCAATTCAGGCAACGGGTCTCCAGACCAAATGAATACTGATAATTGCCTTTTTGCTTTGATGTCAGTGTTTAAACACCAGAAAACATCTGAAAAACAAATGAGTTCATAATTCACCCGAAAGTCTCTTTGTTTTATACATATGAGCCTAAGAACTAGAAAGACAGAAGGACCAATGGGTGGCTGGAGTCATTTTAGAAAATGACTATTAATTTCTCTAATAATTTAGAGAACCACTCCACATCTGAAAGTGTTATTTATATGCATGCCTATGATATTGTAACTCTTAGAATTTTGTGTATCAACAATCAATCTATATACACACATCTATCTACATGCAGGCAAATGTCTTAAAAGACATACTAGCAAATAACATATATTGACGCTATTAAGAAGAAAAGGGAAATGATTAAGGAACAAAGTGTGATTTAGAAACATGCCTGAGACTATCCTGTGACTACATCTTCTTTCAACGGTAAAGAAAAAAGGCATCATGAGATTTCTAGTTACGATGGTGTCCAATTTCAAATGTAAAAGACATTTGAGGACTTTGTAGCCACATGTGCAGTGTGTGAATAAATGCGTTTCATTCATGTGCTTGAGGTCAGTCTCCCAACAAATTACCTGGCATCTCTTTTACCACTGATCAAGGATGCATATTAAACATATATACAGAGCTATAAATAACTGGTTACTTACCAGTTATATGCATCTACCCATTTCCTGTTAGCAATCTTAGAACATTGTTATGGAAAATCACATGAGGCAACAGATATGAAGACATTTTGGGAATTTCAAAGTAGTATAAAATATGAGGTGTTTTAATGTTATGAGGCACAGGGCATATTCTGTGACAAGCAACATGGACATTCTGTGACACGCAGTATATACACCAGCAACAAAGCAAAAGTCAGGAGGCAAGTTTTTAGATTTATTTACATGTGTGTATGTGAGTGTATATGCATATATGTGCATGTGTGTGTCTACGTATGTTGCATATATGCAGGTACCCACAGAGGCCAGGAGAGAGCATCAGGGAGTTACAGGCAGTTGTAAGCTGCCCTATGTGGGTGCTGAGAACTGAACTTGAATCCTCTGGAAGAGCAGCAAGTTCTCTTAACCACTGATCCATCTTTTCCCAGGGAATCATTTTTTGGTTTTTGTTTTGTGTTAAAGCTAAGTTTATTTTTATGTTTTGTATATTGACAAAATACATGTGTTGATAACAGATGAAAACTCTTAACAATGCCAGTAACATAGATTAAATACAATGGTGATTTAACTATGCAAGTATCAGCCCCAGCAGTATTCTGGGGCTTTGGGGTGTTGAGCAGCCTGTCCTGTGTCAAGGAGACATCATACTTCAGAATATAACTGCGAAGGTACAGTTAATTCAAAGGTCAAATAGGAACACTGGGATTTGATAAGCTATCAGCCTCAACCTTGTCTTATTACAGAGGAGGCAGCCAGAGATTAGTGGTCTGTCCAGGATCACCTAAATCTGTAAATTCTTACGTATTTCAGCTACTTCATATTTTGCTCTTATGACCAATTTAAATACATAATATACAAGAAAGCACCCTCAAGTGGTAGCAGGGAAGTATAAGAGGGAAACATTTTTTGAGGTAGACTTTTTTATTTATTTAAATTAGAAACAATCTTGCTTCACATGTCAATCCCAACTCCCTTTCCCTCCCCTCCTCCCCCGCCCCCCACCAACCCCCAATCCCCTATCCAATTCCCACTCTGCTCCCCAGGGAGGGTGAGATCCTCCATGGAGGATCTCATATCATCTAGGGCAGGGTCTAGGCCCTTCCCCATGTGTACAGGCAGAGAGAGCATCCCTCTATGTGGAATGGGTCCCCAAAATCCATTTGGATGCCAGGGATAAATACTGATCTAGTGCCTGAGGCTCCATAGATTGTCGAGGCCACCTCACTGACACCATATTCAGGAGTTCTGGATCAGTCCCATGCTGGCCTCTCAGCCATCAGTCTGGGGTCCTCTGTGGGTTTCATCAGCCTGGTCTTGACTCCTTTGCTCATCACTCCTCCCTCTCTGCAACTGGGTTCTAGGAGTTCAGTTTAGTGTTCAGCTGTCGGTGTCTGCCTCTGCTTCCATCAGGCATTGGATAAAGCCTCTAGGATGGCATATAAGGTAGTCATCAATCTCATTATCTAGGGAGGGCATTTAAGGTAGCCTCATAGCTGTCATCCTTGTAGATCCTAATTGCTGAGCTGTCCCTCCAGCGTCTATTTGTAGTTTTGGGACACCAATTCTATACCCTGTCTATCTCCTTGCTCCCACTAAGATCCACCCTTCTCAGCCATCCTGCCTGCCTTCTTTTACACCTTTGACTGAAAGATGAGAGGGCCAAGATCCCCAGCACATGCTGTGAAATCATTAAGTGTTCCCATCATTAATATATATTTCCTAACACTAGCTAAGCCAAACTAAAATTCTCAAAAGGAACTTCATTTAAATGTGAGAACATTATCACTTCTGTAAGCACAAAACTATCTGAATAGAGCTTCTTTTTATGACAGACTCTTGTGTCTCACTACCATTTCCTTTTCTTTCTTCCTTTCTCTCCTCCCTCCTTCCCCCTGCCTTTCTCCTCTTTCTTTGGATATGGTGTATGTATATGTTCAATGTGTATGCCTGTGGGGAGTGGGCATAGGCCAGAGGTTGATGTTGGCAGTCTTCCTCTATTGTTCTCTACCTTATTTTATAAGACAGGGTCTCACTAAACCTGTGGTTCACAGTTTCAGCTAGACTGGGTGGTCAGTGAGCCCCTAGGCCCCTCCCATCTCCACCATCCCTCCCCTAATGCTTGAGTTACAGGTGTATGCTAGTGGGTTTGGCTTTTACATGGGTGCTGGGATTGCAAACTCAGACTCTATGCAGCAAGCTCTTTACCTGGTGAGCTATCTCCCTACCTCTACCACTCGGCTGTGTTCTAAGTTGGTTCTTGGCCTCTTTACACTGTCATTCTCTTACACGCTTAAATCATCATTTCCTTTTACCATTGTAGGCTCTTTTGCTTGCTTGTTTACTCATATTATCTGTCTCTCTTCTCTCTTCCATAACTCTAGCTGCTATAACCAGACCATAGCCCAGGAGCAGACCCTTGAGGAATCCACAGCCAAACAAGTGAACGAAATGTGCCTGCAGATCTTAACTTAAAGACTTTCTCATGTAATCCCTAGTCCTTTCCTCGTTTGCTCTCTTCATCCTATCCTCTCAACTCTACAATCATGTTCTCTAATCTAGAGAATTTATGATAAGATCAAGGAATGCCAAGAGGAATTTGTAAGATTTTCTAGGTCCTTTATCATCATAGAAAAACCCAGAAGTGACAGAAAGGGGCCCTCTATCTTTCTCTTCACTTGGGAGGAGCCTGGCTTCTCTCCTTATGGGTATTTTTATCACCTGCAAACCATTCCAAGTTGTGTTTTGCTTGTTTGTTTGCTTGTGTTTTAACAGGGTCTTACTATGTATCCCTGGTTGGCCTGTGCAGACTGGAGTAGCTTTGAACTCACAGAGATCTGCCTGCCTCTGCCTCCTGAGAGCTGGAATAAAATGTGTACACCACCATGGCCATTGATGCCCAGTTTTATAGAATGTTCCATCTTGTCCCAAGTAAGTAGTTGAACACATGACTGTCCCACTTCCCATCATAGGGGGTCACTGGTAAGCTGCCTCTCTAAAGTCATTCCACTATTTTGGTCTTTTACTAAATCTATGGTGCTCATTGTTGGTTACCAGCAATGGTTTCTCTGTCCTCACTTCTGCTTTCGCCACCTTCCCCAATACTATGCTCCCACAAACAGCTATATGGGTGATGCGACCAAAAGACTAGTTCTTCTAGCACTGGCTTTTCTTTCGGTGAAACCACAGAAATTAAGAATTCAGCCAAAGACCATTCAAGACAACCTGACATGCCTTCCTGGAAGGCTTCCATTGTGGTAGCTGGTCATATGATGTTGATCACTTAGCTCATTACCCTGTGGTTGACTCTTAACTTCTCCTTTCTTTAAGTACTCTCAAAGGAGAGGAGTTTAAGATAGACTCCTGTTGACAACTACTTGCTTAGTC